CTGGAGCCAGGCAAATTGAGGAAAAACATAAATAGTTAGGAACAACACAAAATTTAAAAACATTATGTAGACGAAAACCGAAAACCACTTTTCAAAATGACTGAAAAATTGCAATGGAAACCAAAAAATATCCACTAAATTCAGCAAGAGAAAGAAAAGAGTCCTGCAGCTTAAATATTTTATCACGTACTGTGCCAAGAAGATTGGTTGATTCGAGATTGAAAAGTTATTTTGACAAAAAGATGCCGCAGTCGTTTTGGAATCGCGCTTGAGTTAAAAAACTCCAAAAGACGTAAACGGGTGTGATGTAAGTTTCTTTAAAAAGGATAATGATCCCAAGCACCAGAGCAGGTGAAAAACACGCTTATTTTATTGAATTAAGATAACACACATATTGACCGATATATGGGGTAAGTAATCGGGAGTAAGAAATCGTTTCTATTAGCTAAGGGAAATATTACCCTGATTCAACCCATTTTTGACACACAGACATAGGTACTACTATTAAGAAAGGACTCTCAGTTAGTTTCAATTACATATCTCACTCATTCACCGATATTTTCGGTTGCACATTCGTGTTGTCCAGATATTGACATTTGAATATTTGTTAAATTGAAAGTGAAACGTTGGTCTCTTTTGCCAGTTGCGATTGGATAACCCATGTAGTTGTGATGTAAAGTTCTTCCAGGTCAGAACGACCTCCATCTTCAACATTCAATCTGCCTAAAATATGACTCCAGGATGCATTTGTGTTCCGGAGCTGAAAGAGACTTTCCACCTGGTCGCAAGCTGGCGTCGACGATGTTTTTAATGCGTTGTTTTTTAGCTTGTCCAAACACATTGCAGAACAGGATCTTAAACATACATATGTGCTTTATAGGGGCTTAAAAATTTTTTTGAATAACTATAATTATACTTATAGTCAGTAGTTAAGTAATAAATGATTAGTTAATTTATGGCAAAAAAAAAATAATCAAACCGGGCTAGTAATGACCAATACACTCCAATACAACTTACTCGAACCCCTCGTTAGGCATAAAAACACGTAGGGCTACGAAGCTTTTTTGTAACCGCGCAAATATATAAAAAGCGAAAAGTCCAATCGAAAGTGCAGCATCGCTGAAATTGACAAAGGGTCGAGTAATGAAGCTATGAGGTGGTCAGTTATTCGACTAACTTTCTTTCCAAAGTTCTTTTCCTTAAATACTATTCTTAACAATATTTTAATACAGCATAATACATAATTTCGTTTTGTATTTCTGCATATATACATACAAGTGTATTTTTGTAAATTATGTACCTTTAACAGTTATAAAAGGAGAATGACTTGAGTACACAATTAACACTATTGCATATGGCCGAAGAATGCAGTGGTTCTCAATCTGTGACTCTACAAGATTCTCTATGACTTTCATTAAGGTACCTTGCTTATCATCATCAATATGTAAGGAGTAAAGTTAACTAGATATCTGAAATTCCCGATATTAATTATTTGGGTGCTCGGGCAATTTTTCACTCGAGTTTAGGTACAGAGATGCACCGTTAGGAGAAAAACATGCTCACTCAATTTAATTTAGATAATTCACATATTGGCCGTTATATGGGGTATAAGGTCAGCCGGAAGAACGAAAATCTTTCTATTAGGTATATTGGCGCTAAAGGAATTATTGTCAACCCTTTTTACACTTATAAACAAACTATTATCAGGAAAGGAGTATCTCTTTATTTCAATTATATATTTGACACATTGATCGATATTTTCGGTAAAAGTCAACCATAGGTTCTGGGGTTCACATTTCCGGTAAGGGAAGTACGTGTGAGTTCTGTTTGATTTCGCCCATTTTCTCACCATAACATGGTAATGTCAAAATAATCCTGAGATATTTGATTTAACCTTAATGTGGCGGTGCCACGCCCTTCGTTTAATTTTGACACTTGCTCCTATAAAGCCCTCTTGTGCCATCCTGGATATAAAATTAAATGTCTCGGAAACATTGAATTATTGATTTATTCCACTTTTAGTACATTTAACAAAATCGTTACATGGGGAGTGGGCGTTAATAACATTCGATTTCACGTATTTTCACTCTCTCTTCTCCTCTTAGGGCCGGGCTACGCCCACTTTCTAAAACTTTTTAAACCACAGGTGTCATTGCTATTGATAATGCCAAAATACACTTATGTATCTTAATTCGCGGCTTCGTTACGGCAATTTATAGGTTTTCGATTAATAGCGTTCTGCAGATGTGGCGGTGGACTGATCACGACCATCTACAAACTCGTCCGCCTTATTTGACTAAGATATATATACATGTATATGTACAAAGTTTCATAACGATATCTCAATTTTTACTATAGTTATAGCTTGCTTACTTATCATATAGCTGTCATACAAAATGAACGATCGGAATTAAGTGCTTGTACGGAAAGCTGTAAAACTGTTTTTTCGAAGATTTCGAGTTTTTCCATTTATGTCTCTGACTACTTAGCCATTTTTATAACGCTTTTATTAGCATCCGGTGACAACTAATTTCATATACCTAATATAAATATTGAACTTACGGTTGAATTTATACCGCATCTATCGGCCAAGATGCAGTCTATATTAATGAAACTGAGAAATAATCTCATTTTAATAAGAGTGTATCCTCTTGCCTAAAATGGATGCAATAAGGGCAATACTTCTCATAGTCCCCGTATACCTAAGATATGGATTTTCACGAATCCGCCTGATTTTATACCATATATGTATGTACCTCGTATATTGGTCAATCTGTGAGGTTCCTTTATGAAATTCAGAGAGCATCTATTTCGGTAATGATACGCCGTTATACCAAAACTGAATAAAATCATGTAATAATATTCCCTAGCCCCCATATACCGTATATAAGAAAATGTATAAGAATTATATAAGAATTAACAAGAAAAAATGTTAACTTCGGTTGCATCGAAGCTATAATACCCTTCACAAATACAAAGTGTCCTTACAAGAACTTATCATAACAGCTATATACTATAGTGATCTGATTTGAACAATTTTTTCATATATTACATTGTTGCCTTAGACTATAACTCATGCCTTATTTCGTGAAGATAACTCGTCAAATGAAAATTTTTCCCATGCAAGCACTTTACTTTGATCGTTCAGTTAATATGGCAGCTATATGCTATAGTCATCCGATCTATAAAATTTCTTTGGAAATTGCATTATTGTCTTAAATTATAGTTCATGCCAAATTTCGTGAAAATACCTCGTCAAATAAAAAAGTTTTCCATATAAGCACTTGATTCTGATTGTTCAGTTTGTATGGCAGCTATATTCTATAGTAGTCCGATTCTTATTGAGGAAAGGACAGGTGCAAAATTTCAGATCGATAGCTAAAAAACTGAGGGACTAGTTTGTATATATACAGACAGACGGACATGGCTAAATCAATCAAAAATCATGCTGATCATTTGTGTATGTATTTTATAGGGTCTCCGACGTTTCCTTCTGGATGTTACAAACTTTGTGGCAAACTTAATATACCCTTTTCAGGGTATAAAAACTTCCGATGGGCCTTACTTATCGGTCAATTTGTAAAATATCTTAGCAAAATTAAGTGAAAGTATTATGTTAGATATATATATTGTTTAGTGCCGAAAATGTGCGATATCAATCCACAAATTACAGCAGCTCCTATATACTACATATAATGATTTTCATTAGTCCAGACTGAAATTGTGATTCTTTTGGATGATACCAAACCAAATATGCCCCATATATTAAAGTTAGCTTTGATTTAGTTTATATTACATACATCTCATTTGAGATCCATAATAACGGTTAATCTAAGTGGAAGTACTCTTTTCAATAGCCTTTTTTTGACAGATAATTTTTGATCAGTATTGTTTGGCATTTCATAATGGAAAGACTTACGCCTAGACGACTTTATTACAAAAATTCACTTTCTGTACAGAATGTAATTCGCGCGCTTCGCTCAACTTATGATTAATATAATCGGCCTACTGAGTATGCTATTCGCATCGCTATCCCCCATCTTGAGACCCAGAATTCATTATTGGATAATATTCCATCATATAGACCACGTCCAGCACGCAGTGAAGAAAATATAGCGGCCGTAGCTAAGAGTGTACACGAAGACCGTAGAAAGTCGATTAGGCACCGTTCGTACCAACTCGGACTGACGTATGGAACGACTTGTACATTTTGCGTCGAAATCTTATCGACATCGCGTTCCTCTATAGGCTCTTGAAAGTTCCAAGAAGATCCGAAATTTTCTAGCCAAATTTTGTTCAGCTATGAGACCCATTTCTGGCTCAATGGGTGTGTAAACAAGCAAAATTGCCGCATTTGAGACAAAGAGTAACTTGAAGAGATTCAAGAGCTGTCATTTCATCCAGAAAAATAACGGTTGGGTGTGGTTTGTGGAAAGGTGGAATCAGTTACCAGTCGAAATGCTCGAACGAGTAATAGAAAATTGGACTCAACGGTTGGACCATCTGAGACGTAGCCGCTGCCAACATTTGAAAGAGTTAATCTTCAATATATACCTATATAAATAAGATACTAAATTTTATTGTAATTCATTCACAATTTCGTCGAATAAGGAATGTTGAATTCTTTTGCAACATTTTTTGATCGATAGTTTTTCCAATACTTACTATAAGTATTTGGCCGGCTTTGATCCTTGCAAGTTGAAAGAGTATAAAATGTTCGGTTACATCCGAACTTAGCCCTTCCTTACTAGTTTAATTTAAAATTTTGCAACACATGAGTGTATTACCCCACCTTTGATCGAGAGCGAGAGTATAAAACGTACACCCGAACTTTACCTTTTTTAATTTGTTTGAAACTGTATTTATTAATATTAAGTTTTCGATTCTTGTTTTTAAGCACATACTGTCATATTTTAGTCAAGTTATAAACTTTGTTATTACTGTACCAATTTTTATTTTTAAAAACGATTTCAGGGTTACATATTACCAACTAATATATCACAAGGTGTAATCATTAGCAATCATTCGTTGGTTCTACAAGGTGTTAATAAAGCAAGTGGTGGTAATTTTTCGTGCATTGGATACAATACCGAAGGAGAAGGACAAAGCCCTTTCTTCAACCTGGACATCTTATGTAAGTAAAATTCAGGGGTTTCAAAAATAAAATAATATGCAATCTAATTTCAACTACAAACTGTGTGCCCACAAATTGTGTATCCCAAAAATCTGTGGATTAGATAGGAAGCAGCTTGTCAATATTATAGCAAATAACGTGCGTATTTTCTGCGGTCAAGCAATATTCGATGCATCAGCGAGTGCTTTGTCCCATTGTGCATCATTCTCAAGATTTAATTCCTGGTATGCTTGTCGATAAGTGGCGTACAGCTGACCGTCGACAGTTCTTAAGTCTTGGAAGGATGTCGGTCCACGTACATTGATTAACAGCCATCGCAGATAGAAGCATTCTGTACTGTTCGAGTGAACAGTACACAGACGACCCAATGCCTTACTGGAGTTCTAAATGCGATTTCCTTCAACTACTTTACCGTGTTTGCGACGTTGAATCTTTTTAGCCGATGCATTCATAGCGTCCAAATTGGTATTAGTTGATTTCATTGAGGGTTCGGCCACATTCCCTACTCCAAAGACTGCCAGGTCGCTTCCTTTTCGTTCCGTTCTTTCAGAACAATAGATTTGCTGTCATCTTCAACTAATCGTCGATGATACACTGGGTATCCATCAATACCAGTGATGGTATCAGAAATCAAGTTTCTTGGGTATCGTTGCGTACATTTTCCTTCAGACATGTGTGGTGAATTGTAGTTGAATGCGCCACATGGATCATGAAACATATTTTTAGTAACGACGTTGAATAAGTCAGGATTATTGGCCTTATCTGGTAGTTCTGAGATGAATTTGTCAATTTTGTCTGGCGTAATTTCGTTGATTAACCAAACCAAAAACCGCGATGCGTGTTTAAATATGCACGCGGTAGTTTAAAAAATAACTATCGATAATATAAATATTGAAATTTACTTTTTCGTTTAAATTAGGAGATTTTGGCTTTGAACCCTTTATTTTTATGAAATAATCATAAGATTTATTTATAAAACAATCGCAGAAAACACGAAAAATTTAATAAAGTTACATACGGGTTATCCAAGTATAGATCCTTTTTTTAATAGCCTTTTTTTGACAGATTACGCATGAATCGTGTCAAGCTGTTATGTTATTTTTGTTCAGTATTGCTTGACATTTCATCATGGAAAGACTTACGCCTGAACAGCATTTACAAATCGTTCAAATTTATTACAAAAATGCATGTTCTGTAAAAAATGTGTTTCGCGCGCTTAACTTAACTTATGATCAATATAATCGGCCAACTGAGCGTACTATTCGCAACATCATCACTCTTCTTGAGACTCAGCATTCATTATTAGATAATATTCCATCGAATTGACCACGTCCAGCACGCGGTGAAAAAAATATAGCGGGCGTAGTAGAGTATACATCAAGACCGTGGACATTCGATTCGGCGCCGTTCGCAGCAATTCGGATTGACGTAAGAAACGATTTGGCTCATTTTACGTCGAGATCTTAAATTGAAAGCGTACAAAACACAGCTTGTGCACGAACTGGAGCCGCTCGACCTTCCCAAGCGATATTGCCTCGCTTTATGAGTTCTTGAAAATTTCCAAGAAGATCCGACGTTTTCGAGCCAAATTTGGTTTAGCAATGAGGCCCATTTCTGGCTCAATGGATATATAACCGTCAATGGTGATTGTTATTCTGCCATGATAACCCACTATTTGGTACCTGATATTTAAGCTCGTAATTTTGGCGATATTTGGTTTCAACAAGACGGCGCCATTTCCTACACATCGCATAAATCAATGGACTTGTGGGATAACACTTCGGTGAGCAGATAATTTCACGTTTTGGGCCGGTCGATTGGCCACCAACATCGTGTAATATTACACCGTTAGAATTTTTCCTGTGGGGATATGTAAAGTCTAAAGTCTATGCGGATAATCCCGATTCAGGCCTTGGAGCAAAACATCACGCGTGCCATTCGCCAGTTACCAGTCGAAATGCTCAACATTTGAAAGAGATAATCATTGAATGCCAAAGAATTTCCTTTCGATTGATTAAAACATTTCCCACTAAGTTTAAATTTTCTATTTTTTTCTTAAAAAAAGTAGGGAACCTCGAAATGGATCACCCTATATAAATTTTATTCATGTACTTCTATAAATGTGTCTGAGAGCAGACGAGATAGAAAAAGAATTTTTTTTTATATATTTATGTAAAATAAGATTAATAAATTTATACATAAATAAGTAAGGAAGAGCTAAGTTCGGGTGTAGCCAAACTTGCCCGGAGCAAAGTCAGGGAATACCAACTCAAAGGCACTATTCATGCAAAGTTTTAATCCGATACATTCATTGGTTTTTGATTTGTATACTGGAAAGTGAAAAAATCAGATGGAATTTAAAATTATGTTATATAGGAAGTAGGCGTGGCTGTAGTCCGATTTCGCCCATTTTCGCACTATAACATAGAAATATGAGAAGAATGTTATTAACTGAATTTGGTTGAAAGCGGTTAAGCAGATCCCAAGATATGGGTTTTCACTTAAAAGTGGGCCCACTGTATAATTTTGAACACGGTTTCTCTAAAGTCATATCATACCATCCCAGAGTCATAACAGTCTTGTATCTTATTCTGGAGCTTAGTTACGGCAATTTATTTGGTTTTGATTAATGGCGTTTTGTTGGCGTGGCGTGGTACGATTACGCCCATCTGCAATTCCAAACGTTCTTACGGTACCAAGAAACATGTGTACCAAGTTTCGTAAAGATATCTCACTTTTTCCTCAAGTTGCAGCTTGCACAGACGGACGGACAGACAGTTACCCGGATTTCAACTGGTCACTTCATCCTGATCCTTTATATATACATAACCCTATATCTAACTCGATTAGTTTTAGGTGATACAAACAACCATTAGATGAGCAAAACTATTATGCTCTGTAGCAACAAGTTGCAAGAGTATAAAAACGATTCCATTGAGTACGTTACGTAAAAATAGTAGTTTATTGACGTTTTTAGACTTAATTTCTGTTCTCTTGTCTGATATTAGCAATCAAACCTCCGACTCTATAGAAGTAGCTGGAACACAAAGGTATCGACTGGCACAGATGTTGAGAGACATCGAATTTTTTCGTTGCTCTGTAATGGAAATAAAAATAAATTCACAAAAGACATTCGGTGCTGAAACTATACATTACATAAACATACAGTTTAAATACAGAATAAATAAAATGTATGTATATTAATTAAATATTTAGGTAATAATATAATCATTACATTATTATATGCACATATATTTCGAAAGAATTTATGGAATTCATCAAGATTTAAGAAATAGGTCATTTTGAACATATGTATATATTTATGTCCTTGATATCATAATATATACAGATTATCTATACATTATATGCCGAGTCGTTTGCGCATTGTAAATAAATGAATTTGTAAGCGTAAATTTCTTAACATTGGAATCAGCATTACTTTTCTCAATTAACACTAAAAATGCTCAATTCTGCTATTTTTGAGTCTCCTGATGTTAATTGTAGCGAAACATGCCAATAATTTTCTGTGGTGAAATATGCTAATCGTTTTCACTACCCCTCTCAAAAGTGGTGAAACAAGCTCATCGTTGTCAGTTCCCCTGCGAAGAGTGAAATATTTTGATAATGGCCACACTGAGAACCTTCTCTATAATCTATATTCTCTGTCCTATGTATTATTATACAATAATAAGTGTAAAAATTGTCATTCTACATGTACATAAGTACTGCTTCTACCAATAGGGACATCAATTATAAAGCTTTTTAAAAGGGATTTTTCATATAAATTAGTATAAAAAACTGAAGCATTTGAACCGAAGAAAACCGTGGTTTAGAGAAATCCAGAAGCTTGAAATATATGGAACCGAATATCTTAATTACAAAAAAATTTATAATGAAACAGGAATGTAATCCGCACCCGTATTCCATAAACTGTTGTCGAGAGCTCATGACTCGTGTTGAGTTGTATTTCTTTATATAAGAATTATTTCCAACCATGTGTAAAAGTTAACAATAAATAATATATTTGAAATTGATGATAAACTTTTTATGAGAATTTATAATTAACATTTCAGTTGCACATTTCTTTTTTATATTTTCGTTTCTGCTGGATTAGAGGTGACACCCGTAGACCAATGATTAATTGATTGGCAAATGATCAAAATCCAATTACTTATAGGAAACTTTAAAGCTGAAATAGAGCAAGCTGATTTAAAAGGAGCCAAAAAAATCGCGTATGTGGGAAATGTTCTATGGATCATTCTGAACATCTTTGCCTAAGAATATATGGGTCTTAACTAAAAATTACAAGCTCTTAGCTTTTTAATTAAAGGCAGGCAACCGGAAAATAAAATAACTAAATAATCGCTTGTATGGGAGATATGTGATATAGTTGTCCGATATGGCCAATTCCGACAAATAATCATTAGAATGTCAAAATGCATCTACGTAGAAAGTTTTATTCCGATTCCAAAAAAAATTCACTTAAAAAATCGCTAGCTCGAAACCGGTTTTAGATCCATATTTTCTCATTCAAAGATACTTAGGATGATCCGTAGAACATTTCCCGCATACCTGATTTCTATACTCTCGCAACTTGTTGCTACAGAGTATAATAGTTTTGTTCATCTAACGGTTGGTTGTATCACCTAAAACTAACCGAGTTAGATATAAGGTTATATATAATATATATAAATGATCAGGATGAAGAGACGAGTTGAAAGCCGGGTGACTGTCTGTCCGTCCTTCCGTCTATGCAAGCTGTAACTTGAGTTAATTGAGATATATTTATGAAACTTGGTACACATGTTTCTTGGTATCGTAAGACGGTTGGTATTGCAGATGGGCGTAATCGGACCCCTGCTCCGCTCACAAAACGCCATTAATCAAAAACAAATAAATTGCCATAACTAAGCTCCACAACAAGGTACAAGACTCGTATTTGTTATACAGGATCACATTAGGAAGGGGCGTCTGCAGTTAAAATTTTGTTTATAAAGTGGGCGTGGGTGCATATCTCCTATACTGAAGCCATAATAACAAAATTCACTGGGAACAAATGTTTTTAGCATCTCTAACGACGGTGTGAAAATGGGTGAAATCGGGTGACAACCCCGCCCACTCCCCATATAACGGTACTGTTAAAAACTACAAAACAAGCCAGAGACATTAAATTTTATCTCTGGGATGGTATAAGATAATTTTATAGGAACCACGTTCAAAATTAGATAGTGGGCGTGGCACCTTAGCACTTTCACCAAAACTTTCAACCAAATTCGGTACATAATATTTTTCTCATATTTCTATGTTATAGTACTAAAATGCAATGGGATTACAACCACGAATATATCCCATATAACATCATTTTAAATTCCATCTGATTTTTTCACTTGCCAGTATGCAAATCAAGCAATCAATCAAGTATGCCACCTTGTGACCAAAAATTATCTAAATTGAACCAAACTGTTCAAGCCCCTAGGTACTGAATATGTGGACCCCAGTGCATATAGCTGACTTTTTACCGAAAATATCGGTCAACATAGAACAAGGCGGCAAACTCCACAAAGAAATCTTAAACGAGTATACCATTCGACTTTGCGAGAGTATAAAATGTTCGGTTACATCCGAACGTAGCCCTTCCTTAGTTGTTTAGAATAAAATTCTACCTGCTCTAACGTATGTAGTAGTTTTGAACAAAACCGTTATATGAGTGAGCGTGAACAATACAGTTTTGCTCTTTCCAAGATGGTGTGAGACTATAACAATCTTACTCTATCGTAATAACAATTTTTTCTTAAATTATTTTGTATGTTTTTACCAACTGCATGTACTTTATTTTTTCAATTTAATAAATTTTCTTCGAAGATTTATTTGTTTTCTGTGCAACTTTTCAATTAATAACATGCATTTTTCAGAGTATATACATACATATATATATTATATACAATATATAATACAAATACTAGAAGTAAAGACAATAGAACTCAGAGTGTGAACTCAATTCTTTTCTATTTTATATTCCATTTTTCAGACGCTCCGATCTGTTTATCAAATCAATTAAAAGTATATGGAGTTGCAAAACATGAAAATGTGAATGTTACATGTATGGTAGATGCGAATCCACCAATTGTGGATTTTAACTGGATTTTCAATAACTCCATTGAGAGTATAGACGTCGCTACGAATCATATTTCGAAAACAGGTTTGTTTATTTAAGTTAACATTGATATACACTATTCTAGGTAGACCAAACTTTTTGCTGACTTTACAAAAAACTATAATACTCCTGAATGAATGATGGAGTATGGCGCATGGATGGAAACTCGTGAATTAACCGGGATAATTCATAAAATTTCGTGTTAGTCGAAGACTTCACAAGAATACTGGCACAAAGTTTCAACAGACCATCGAATAAGTCCAAACGTTTGGAAGTATTTCCGATTGGTTGAAAAGGTATAATGGTTAAAATGTTTATTATTTTGACTTTCTACAGAAAAAAGATTATCTTTACGTAAGTTTGGAGTACTGTTTGTACACTTAAAGAACTCATTCAACAATAGCTTATCCTATACCGTACCGGTATAAGTAGGAAAGCCTCGGTGCTGTATATGACTTGTAATACAGCTTATGAATATTTTCGCTATAGTAGGCACTAAATATGTAATCTTGATTATTGAACAAAATAATCACAGTGCCTAAAGGCAAACATAGGATGGATATAGGAAGAAAAGGATTTGAGGCTCTAAAGTAATGAATGATTTTATATATTTCTTTAATCTCTGCAACTACTCTGAGCCCATATCTGTGCTAGTGCATTCTATGGTTTAAATATAGCCTGTAGTTTTTTACTTCAAAAAAGTTATTAATCCAATATCGCCAAGTTGCTCAATTTTTTGCATCATTACTAACTTTGTTCTTCACGTCCAAACGATCATTTAATGCTCAGTATTATAGTTAGTTAATTTTTTTACCATTTAAAGAAAATCTTGTTAATGGTTAAGTATTTGATGACTTTCACCGTCAACAACCATTCAGAAGACTGTAGATTGGATGATGAGTCCATGATTCATCTATTGTCACAATTCGGCACATAAAATCGTTCTTATTTCGTTGATCAGTGCCAGATTATTAAGTTAATATAATGTAGGACAAGTAAAATATATAATTGGAAAGCAATGCAATATTGGATTTAAAAAGGCCACCCTGATGCACTCAACACACCAGTCACAAGAAAATTGGACTCAATGAATGGACCATCTGAGACATCGCCGCGGCCAACATTTGAAAGAGATAATCTTTAAAAAAAATTCCAAAAAATGTTATTTTGAATAATAACAAACCTTCTCCATTAAATTTGAATTTTCTGTGTTTTTTTTCTTAAAAAAAGCAAGGAACCTCGATATGGATCATATCGTAATATATGATGTATGTAGTATATGTAAATATATGCATATTTTTTATTGCCTATGAATGCTTACCTTCGTGTATATAAACACAAAATATCCTGCATTATACAAAACAAGTAAGAAAGTGCTAAGTTCGGATGTAACCGAACATTTTATACTCTCGCAAAGTCAAATGGTATACTCGTTTGAGATTTATTTATATTTTATATTTAGATGTAGGAACTGTTGCCTTAGTAATTTATACAATTTTAAGTCACAAGGTAGCATACTTTAAACGCATTATTCACGCAAAATTTTACCCCGATAAAATCATTGTTGCTTGATTTGCATAGTAGAAAGTGAAAGAATCAGATTAATATTAATTAATTAGATTTAAAAAGGTGTTATATGGAAAATAGGCGTGATTATAATCCGATTTTACCCATTTTCGCGGTTTTTGATCCATATTTTCTCATTCAAAGATACTTAGAATGATCCGTAGAACATTTCCCACATATCCGATTTCTATACTCCCGCAACTTGTTGCTACAGAGTATAATAGTTTTGTTCACCTAACGGTTGTTTGTATCACCTAAAACTAACCGAGTTTGATATAGGGTTATATATATATAAATGATCAGGATGAAGAGACGAGTTGAAATCCGGGTGGCAGATCCCAAGATATGGGTTTTCACCTAAAAGTGGCCGTTGTGATAGAGGTGCTGAAAACATTTGTTCTCAGTGAATTTTATTATTATAGCTTTAACGGTAATGTGCATATCTCACATTAAACTTATTAGAGGACGGAACCACGCTTACTTTTTAAAAAAATTTTTAAGTGCAGATGCCTCTTCCTAATATGATCCTGTATACCGAATAACAGTCTTATTGTGGAGCTTAGTTATGGCACTTTATTTGTTTTTTGTGGACGTGGCAGTAGTCCGATTACGCCCATCTGCAATACCAACCGTCTTACGATACCAAGAAACAAGTGCACCAAGTTTCACAAAGATATCTCAAGTTTTACTCAGTTACAGCTTGCACAGACGGACGGACGGACGGACAGACAGTCACCCGGATTTCAACTCGTCTCACTCATATCTAACTCGATTAGTTTTAGGTGATAAAATTTCCTATGATGAATAGATCTTGAACATTGAAGCTCTAGACATTCTGGGTCGAGTATGAACTACAACTTTATTATATGTGGCACCCTGACTTTTATGAAAAGTTATTCTCTCAGCCCGAACAACTAGAAACTGATTTCTTTCAATTGAAATTTGTTCAATTCTTTTATATTGAAAAGATCTTAGAACCTTTTCAATTGGTGTCCAAGAAATTTCTAGAGGATGAGGCTTTTTTGATTGTGCTATTAAACCAACAGAAGTTTCCAAAAATATAGTCCACAGAATTATTGGAAAAGAACAATGGCAATCAATTTGCATAAGTTGTCCAGCTGCCCCATTAACCAAGCCATCACACGTGTTTGTACTTGTATTTACTGTAATCATATATTTGGCGTACGTTTTTAGTGTCAATTCATAGGGCAATCCCTGGGTTTCAGAAGTTTTTAAAAGTTAAACTCTTTCCAAAATGTTCTCATTTTCACTTATACAAATTCCTTTAACTGAGTCTTTTGCGTTTGAAAGGATAGCTTCAGTTGGGACTCGACTGAGCTTAAGGGCCGTAAAATTATTTGTCTCTTTATTGGACTAAAATAAATGGATGGCTTCATTGGAAACTGTCTCGAAATTAACTATTCGAGTTTCAATGAGTGATATAATATGTCCTCATCATGCAATTGCAATAACTTCCACAAAGGGGAACCAACTAAAGTGCTGTATGCATCATTGTGGTTAGGAGAGAATATCCACCTATCTCAAACAGGTGAGAGTTGCTTTAAATCACCAAAAAATAACAGAGCTAAATATACGAGCACCTACCATCCATATTTAATCAATTATGATTAATTTTAAATCGAAAAGTCTGAAATACAATGAATTAACTGTGTCATTGCTAAGAGTATATTGAATGAAGGGTCATTCCGCCTATTCTGAATGCTGCTTTACCCGCAGGTGCGCAAACAAGAACTGTTTAAGAACTTGGATTGGATCCAGGTGTAGAATTGTAACGATAGTTAAGAGCTTGATATAATATGTTGAAGATATCAAAAATTCCGGCGTTATCTTTAAAAAGCTTAAGAATTTGTCGATATCTAGGACAAGTAACCGCGTCGGACCGAATTAAACGATATCTATCTTGGGTTGTTAAACTGTTGGCGTTATCTTCCGAAATATCTTTAAAATCAACAGTTTCAGAGAGGATGACCAAAAGCTCAACCCCGGAGATTCGGCAGGCGATAAAAATATAAAGAAGGTTGAAAGCCCAAATTGGCGAATAATAGCGATTGCCTTTTTATTCTCATCTTTCCAGTGCGCAATAGAGGATCTAACGCCTTTCTAAACCTTGTAATCATCATCGTGTTGAATCAAGTTTTGAATAAAAACTTGAAAACTTTCTAAGAAAAATTAATGTACTATTCTTAATTAGTAGCAGTTACAATTTTTTATAATCATAGAACAAATTTGGAGTGGTACACGCCCTTCTGTCAAAACGGCGAATTCCAATCGGGAAACCTTTGCATTTGCAACAACGGAACTTCTTCTTGGTGCTTAAACTCTGAAATCCAGCTCTCATTAATAAGTATGTTGTGCTCACGATACAGAGGGGTATTCATTAAGAATTGCAAAGCTTCCATAATCTTTTCTGGGCATATGGTATCAATCATGTAATTATGATTGTATTACAAACGCCTTCTTAAGTGAATTTGCATCACATGAAATTTATCAAAGGACCTTGATAGAGATGTCACGATATTGTTAACAGAAATTGGTATATAAACAACAGCACCTTTGAGAGAACTCTGACCTTGATATCATAACGGACTGATTGCCATAAAAGGCAATCTAGGCATTAAGAGACGTTCTTCAATTGCGGTTAAATCTTTCAAACAATCCGGTAGTTCAGGAAAGTCTAGACTCTTAGCTAAACATAATTTGCGAACTTGGTGTGAAAACCAAAATCCGTCGCAGCAAATACATATTTCAGTGGGACCTACTTAAAATTGTGAAAGTAAATGTTTTTGAAATCTGTTAAATTGCCACTATTAGCAGTTTCTATAACATTATTTTCTCTCGTTAATCGGTTTCGTATTAAATTTTCCTATTGACAGGGTTATCTCTGCAAGGGCGAACTTGACCTTGTCTAAGGCGTCTCTGATTCAAAATTTTTTTCTCACACCCCTCCTACTAAGCTGTCGACGTTGTTTGTCTAGCACGCTCCTCTCTCCTTATTTCATGATTTCTTCTTGCATGTTCTCTTTGCATTTTATCACGAATGCGCTCTAAGTTCCTATACTCAGGATTTCTTGCGCGAAGTTCTCTATGATCCCTAGTGTTCCTACTTTGCTCATCGTAGCGAATTTGTGGATCTTGTCGCCTTGTTCTATGTTGAACAGTGTTTACAACCTGCTCAGCAGATCGAACCTTGGGGTCTTCACGCCGAGACCTATGACCTCGAGTATCTTTTTCGTTCGGACAGACGTACATCGGAATCTAATCTACGATTAGCGTGATTTACACTGTAATTGAGTCCTTGCTATGACTCCTTTCTTGTTCGGTGTATAGGTTGAATATACTGGTGTAAATGTGTGCACATATGTATTTATAAACACTACATAAGTATTAAACACTAAGCACTTTGCTGGTTAAGAAATCTAGTGTAATTGAAACTACAAACACAGTGTACTGATATTTATTATACGTATGTGTTATTTGTATATACTTGTAAGATTAAATTTTGTTGTTAGGATCGCGCCCGCTATGATTTTGGGATTATTTTCGCGCCGGTTTTTTGTTTATTGTTGTTGTTTAAATGTAAATTAATATGTAATTTAAGTTTTTGTCTCTTTTTTTCTGTTTTTTGTTTTTTGTCAAACCACTTTTAAGTCTATATTACATATTTTTGTTCTAAATATGCGCATATGAGTTTTTTTTTCAAGGAAAACACAGTGTATATGTATATATATAACTTTTTGTATATATGTTTAGTACACTACACAGCACTTAGGATGTTTTTTTTTTTAACACGAAAAAAGGAAAAGACCGCTTGAAAATCTGTGGTTTTGGTTGGTGTGGTGATCGGCAGGTGTGTTGCGTTATCCCGGATAGCGGTGTCGTTGTGTCAATTAATTATTAAAAATTGTGAACATTATTAACACAAATCGTAACCGGTTAATCACCGCACGCTCGCAAGATCTGTTCAATTTTACAGGCCTAACCGCAGGCTCTTTTCTCAAAGGAGCACACACCTGAGCTAGGCGTGGAGTCGCTATCCTTAAAGAATAATAGGATCTTACCAAAGGGTACCCTACAACTCAAATAAAGTTGTTTGGCTCAAGCACAAAATCCACGTCAAAATATATACAAAATATAATTAAAAATTGTTTATGTATGTGTAGCAGAATATGGATATCGTGCCCTCGGCTACTCCATCAACAGTATGCTAAAATACATTCAACAGGAGTTTAAACTCCCCTCCAAGTACACTGCTCCACTTGGAAAAGCAATAGCACACCCTAATATAACACACCACACAGGACAACGCAAAACACCAAAACACGACACCTGTACACTACCTCACAAACAAAAAGGACGGGATCTTTACCCTCACGGCTTCATTCGCTTAAACACATTTGTTTCGTCTACGAGCCACATCAACATTTCTTTTCAATTTATCAACCCGTGCGATATAACTGCGGCAAGCGACACCTTGCAGAGCTCGTAATTCTGATTCTATTCGGACACATGCGTTAAGTCCTTAATCAATAATTATATATTTATAATAACGGCGTTTCAACCTTGTATACGATACAATCTCATTTTTATTTAATTTATTCACGCGATTATAAGTGAAGTGGTGAAATGTTTTAACATTGGTAGTGTGTGTTGCCTAACAAATCGGGGAATTTATTCAGATTGTAATCCATTCATGATTTCGTCGAAGTTAAACTCTTTCGCAACCTTTTTTAATATCAAGTTTTGCTAACATCTAAAAGAATTCCCTCGTATTTAATCCTTGCAGGTTGCAAGAGTTCGGTTACACTTGAACTTAATCCTTTCTTATTTGTTTAATAAAAAGTTTAGATAACCCCTTTAAATATGTATGCCTCATGCTTTAATCCTTGAAAATTATTTCATTCCAAACTTTGAACGTACAATACATCAAATTTACTCAATCTTTTAGGCTTAATATCTACCGTGGAATATACGCCACTCACAGAGATAGATTATGGAACTCTACTTTGTACCGCCGCAAACAGTATAGGACGTCAAATATCTCCCTGCATGTTTCACATTATCCCTGCAGGTAAGTAAATTGGATAAATTAAACTTTCAGACATTGTCCACTAATTCTAAATTTCCTTCATGAGTATAGCAAGCAATGTTTAAGGAAAATACAGTTTTTTTTTTCATCGTAAAGATTGCAAAGTCTTAGGATATTTACACTTTTAGTATTCAACCATTGAAATAATGAACATTCGAATGTTTGGAAAAATAGATTAGAAAACTCGAAGAATATTCGCAAATTTATTTCTTTATACTCGAAATTAAATTTATGTATGTTAACGACACCTTTTATATTAGTGAATGGAATGCCATATCAGTATTGTAAAAATATTTAGCTCCGTTTTATTAAGAGGTATGGTCACTGTAGAACTAAAAAAAATCGTTTTTTTCGCTTAAACTATGTTTTATAAGTTTCAAGTTTATTTGTAGCGAAGAAAATTTTTTCAAACGACTTTAAGCGTATATAGTAGAGCGGGTTGATTTACAGGAAGCCAAAAAATAGAAAAATCGCGTATGCGGGAAATATTCTGTGGTTTATTCTGACCAACTTTGCTTAAATATGAGTATAAAACCGGTTTTGAGCGAAGTTTAATTTTTAGGGATTATGAAAATTTCTTACTCAATTTTTGAGATAAACGAATGTAACTTAATACATAGGAGCATTTTGACATTCTATTGATTATTTGTCTTAATCGATCAGATCGAATAACTATATGACATATCTCCCATACAACCGATTAGTCTGTTATTCTATTTTCCGATTGCCTGTCTTTAATTAAAAAACTAAGAATATCTAATTTGGCAGAACTGTTCTGTAACACATGCTTTACAGTGACATAAAAAATAAAGAAAATCGGACAACTATATCACATATCTCCCATACAACCATTTCGATTGAATTGTGTATTATATTCAAAAAAGTTTAGAGCTGTTTTGATTTTTTGCCTAATTCCAATGTTTTTGGGTGTACTAAATCCGAAAGTGACTTTCATTCAGGTATTCAGGTATAATTCAAAACGAAAGCGGTCAATTTCATACCCCAATCTGCAATCAGTTATTCGTTCCACTCCTCATGCTAAAAAAGTAAATTGCTTGATTCAGCTTCTTATTGTGCTAAAAATATACAATTTATGTGTGCAAGGGTTATGCAAAAAAAAAAAAAAAAACAAGTAGGGAAGGGCTAAGTTCGGGTGTACCCGAACATTTTTTACTGTTGCAACTTGCAAGGATCAAAGCCGAGCAAATACTTTCAGGCGCTGGCAAAACTTTATAGTAAATATTAAAAAATCTTGAATGGATTACAATAAAATTTGGTATTTATTAACGTATATTAAAAGTCTTAGAGTCACTTAATTTTATTGCTATATTTTACTTTCCAAAATTTATATTAAAATCATACTTGAATGAGAATTATGTGATATAAAATCAACTGAATAGGACAAATTTAATAAAACGAGTTGATGAGGAATACGTCAAACAAAGGATCGGATTTCATAATATTATTGATATAAAATTAAGACCAAATTCAAGACCAATTTGATTCATATTCCGCGGTAAATCACTTAATTTTCAATAAAACTTCTTTACTTAATTGCACTGAAATATCATACATCTTGACAAACCTAGTACACTCAAAACCATGCTCCTATAGAATTTTGTGAAGATAATTATGCACTAGCCGATATGCAAGTATTGGGCACACAGTCTGCTGAAATAACGAAAATCATTATACTTGTAGTACAGATATGAGGGCTGAGAAAATACATGCAACAATTTCACACATTTTCGGCATTAAACTATAGTATATCCAGTGTTATGTTTTTACTTAATTTTCTAGGATACCTGACGCATTGACTAATATATACGGTACGGTATACTAGGTATATGGGAGCTAGGGGTAGTATTGACCTGATTTTAACCATTTTTGGCACAAAGATGCACCGTTTTTAGAAAAATACGCTCATTCTATTTTATTAAAATAATTCATAAATATATTGTTTTGAATATAATAGAATAATTTGATTTGATTGATTTGTGTACTGAGGAGTGAAAGAATGCGATGGAATTTAAAGTTGTGTTGTTTGCATTGTTGTTATCCGACACACTCACCTTTTTAAGATTTTCTAACCACAGATGCCCGTTTGCTACACCAGTAAAACGCTATTAAACTGAAACCAATAAAGTGCAATAATTAAGCACTAAATAAAGATAAAAAACTGTAATTTGACACAGGGGATCGCAGTAGCAACGGGCACCTGTGGTCTACAAATTTTGAAAAAAAATGGGCGAGGCCCCGCCCTCTAAGAAGATGAATATACATATCTCTAAACCATTCAAGCTATTATTACCAAATTTGCTCAAATATGAGCTGGTCGCTTGTCCACGCAAGCGAAATCGAGTCGCGTAAAATTTTTTTTTCTTCTTTTTTTTATGGAATCTTTCCTTAAGAAAATTACAATAATATATTAAAATCTTAAGACTAATTTTAAGAATTAGGGTTAGCACCAACGTGCCAACTTTTATGTATTAAAATCGTACAAAATATCTTAATTTTCTATAATAACGGTTAGTGGGGATGTACTATGGAGCACAGACAATTTGTCGTAAAAGCCTAGACTGTATTCTTTGCACTTTCTGGACATTAGACTCACAAGCACTGCCCCTAAGCTGAATGCCGTAGGTCCATATTGGCTTTATAATACACTTGTATAGAAAAACCTTGTGTTCAAGATCTAGTGCTGAATTAGGAATAATAATACAGTGCATTTGTACTTTATTTCTCATTATTGTTAATACTTACGGCTGCCCCTTACCTACAAACTCGTAGCATTACTGGCTGTGTGTGAAAGTGAAAAAGCGATTGAGTGCGATCAACATTCAACTAGACTCAAATAGTCCAGGCTGTGGTAATTCGTAGGCGGATCGCCGGGGGCATCAATATTGTTGTCACCACGTTACACATTGCTTTCCTGGGATTAGTAGCAGTAATTGTTAAAAATTGCACAAAACAAATCACCGAATCTGAATAAGTTCTTTAAACAAAAAAAATTAAATAATCAATCAATTAATTAGTTTTCGCGAAAAAAACATTTTCTCCACCTCCTTAAGTGCACATCAGCTGTTTGTGTCACACGGTGAGCCAACGCTGTCACATTGGTGATATAAAATCAAAATAAAAACTTCCACATCAAACTGCATAATCGCCCAAACGACAGGTTGCTAATACCCAGTAGAGATAATACTAGGAAATAAAAATGGCTGAACCTCTTCATGAGGCGAGGCCGAGAAACAGTCTCAGCTCTTTTAGAGTAAATAATATAAGAGAACTAGAAAAAACTAACTCACTTATAAACAAATAAAATGCTAGAGTAACTGGCAAAAATGGGTACTACACTTTTACAGAAGTGGAAAGCGAAAAAATAAACATAAATAAAAATAAAAAAACTTGATGGCCGTGCTTATTTGATGTACGTAGTAACTCATTATCCGCATGTATGAGTGTAAAAAAATTAGAATCGAATAGTGACGTAAAAGAAAAAATAGCAACAAAAATCCAACGCACCAACAACATCAGCAGTAGCTCAACATCAAGCGCAAACAGGTACGTAAAGCTAGCCCCAAGGGCACTCAACAACAACGTATTGCTAAGCAGTTAAAAATTACACAAGGTGAACCATCTAAGGATGGCAACAGAGTTTCCATCCTTGATTTTGCAGAAGACGAGGACAATGAGAGTCCTTGAAAGGACTATAAACCACCCCCTATTTACTTGCGCGAACAAACGTCGAACACAATTGTAAATATGATGTCTCAATTGGTTTTTAAAGAACACTTCCATGTTGCTTCTATTCGCAGGGGCCTGGTTCGAGAAACAAAGATTCAGGCTTACACCGAAAAAAATTACCGCCTAATTGCCAGACGATTGGATAGAGAGTTATTACAAGTACCAGCTGAAAAACGCCAAAGGCCTGGTAGTTGTAATAAAAGGCATAGATAGCTCTGTGCCTACTGATGACATTAAGAGCGCGCTAGAAGAAGAGGGTTACAGTGTAAGATCAATGCACAATATTTTAAATAAGAATAAGGCCCCACAGCCAAATTCGATGCATCCCACATAAAATCGAAGAACTCAGTGCATCCCATATATAACTTGCGATATCTTCTGAATAGAAGATTTACCGTCGAAGAGCCCCTAAAACGTCAGAGTCCGGTGCAGTGCACTAATTGTCAAGAATTTGGGCACACGAAGACTTAATGTAAGCTACCATCGGTTTGCATAATTTGCGCCGATGTCTATAGCACTTCAGAATGTTTGCACGCCAAAAATGACACCAAAATCAAAAAATGCAGTAATTGCGGGGAAAACCATACCGCAAGTTACAGGGCTGTAAGGTGTACACGCACATTATGAAACCAAAAGTAATACGTAACCCCGCATATTTTAACTATAAGAAATCTCAATTTCCTAGCCTCTACTCTGGTTCTGTTGCTAGTACTCAACCTAGTAACCTGGCATAAAATAAACAAAACGTTTACTATCCTGAAGCATTACGGACAGATGTACAAAGGCCACATTTTAGTGGTAAGCAAAATGATTTAAACGCCCAAAATTTTTCTTATGCCAATGTTGTAAAAGATGGTCCACAAGCTAATAGTAATTCGACTCCAATCGATAACCTCATACAGACAATAAATAGTTTTATGTCTAATATGCAGAGTATACTCCAGGAGATGATGAAAACTCAGAACATGCTTTTGCAAGTTTTACTTAAAAAAAAATGAGCCAACTGAAAATACAATACTGTAACGTATAGGGGCTATCCCAACATAAACTCGAAGTTGAACAATTTTTGCACACAGAAGGTATCGACATACTTCTGGTCACACTTTACCCATTAGAACTGCTTTAGAATCAAAGGCCCCTACACCTATGATACTAAGCATCAAATTAAAAAAGCATGGGGCTAAGCCACAACTATAAATATATTAGATTCAAATATCGCAATTTCATCTGTTTACTGCCCCCAGACACAAAATTGAACTAGTCAGGTTTCAAACGTTTTTTGCTTCGCTTGGCCAAAAATTTATTGGGGGTCCAGACTCTTTAGCCATAGAGGTAGGCAGCTGTATGATACAGTAATGGCAAATAATCTCGGCGTTGCCACTTGAGGAACAACGACATACTGGCCAACGGACTTTAACAAGTCGCCAGATTGTTTGCTTTTAATAACGGCATTAAACGCAACGAGTACACAGTTACTTCAGCATACTACTTATCATCTGATCACTCACCTACAATTCTCACCCTGCGCAACAATTTCGCTCGTCTCCCCTGACGCAGCTGAATAGATGTACTTGTATTACGTTACTGCGAAACATGCTGCAGCTTCAGAATTTGGATGCAACAAAGAACATAAATTATAGTCTGTGGAAAGCCGTAAGGCACATGAAATGTCCTATAACTCACGAATAACCTTTAAGATTGGAAAAAAAAAATTTTCCAAAACCTCCACCGAAAAAGTTAACGCTTTTGCAAACAGTCTGGAGAAGGCACACAATACAAATGCTCATATCAGTCCACCAAACATAAGTAATATTGTTAACGCACCAATTCAATTTCGACTTTCTCACATACAGGCCGCTTTTAAAAGCCTTGACGTGAAAAAGGCTTAATGATAATCAATCTACCCACTTGTGCTATAAGAATTTTATTATTCATTTTTAACGCAATGTTAAGAAAAGAATTATGATTCCCAAGCCAGGAAAAGACGCTAGTCAAATTACATCACATAGATCTATTAGCTTGCTACCAATATTATTAAAAGTGTTCGAAAAAATTCTTCTCCAAAGCTTAGCTCCGTTCCTCCATGAGCGACAAATAATCCCTGAACATCAGTTTGGATTTCGAGCTAATCAGGGTACAATTGAACAAGTACATAGAATCGCCACTATCATTAGATGGGCTTTTGAAAATAAGCAGTATTCTTCAGCAAAATAATTCGACTGCTATCTGAGAACCCACATAAACTTCCTAAAAGCTACTTAACGGATACAACTTTTAAGGTCATATTGAGGGCCGAACTATCCTCAACAAAGAAAATCTCTGCAGGTGTACCCCAAGGAAGCATATTAGGTCCTTTCCTATATTTAATTTATACATCAGGCATGCCCACAAATCCTAACACATACACATTAACAGACGACACTAACATTTATAAGCGTCAGCTAGGATCCTCAAGCAGGTAGGTAGTATCAACACAACTGCTCCAGCTTTGGGGCAGTGCTTGCGAGTCTAATGTCCAGAAAGTGCAAAGAAGACAGTCTAGACTTTTATGACAAATTGTCTGTGCTCTATGGTATATTCGGAACGAAAATATATATAGAGATCTCATGATTCCTACAATTCATGAAGAAATTTAAAAATACGCCATCAAATACGTCGATAAGCTTACGACTCATCTCAACAGGGCCCGATCTAAGGGGGGCCAAGCCGGGAGCGGCAAAAAATGAGGGGCGGAAAAATTTACTTATTCCTATCCTTCAACCTTTTGTTCGATATTTGTTAGGTATCGATACTTTTAACAAAATTTAAGTCACATCATTAGATTTGGGTCGTAGGGGATTACCCTTCTATAAAGACAATAGCATAGTGATTGGTACTTATTTTCCTATTAAGTAGATTTATTTTTATCAATTAAGTAAAAAATGGATACAGCCATAAACTATTTAGAATTAAGATTTTCCCATATTTCTGAGCACAGTAAACATTTTGCTTTTTTGTATAACATATATGCCTTAAGAGAACTCCCAAAAGACCAAAAGATGAATTGTTAGAACATTGTTGTTCTATATATAACATAGAGTTTTCAGTGCTTTGTATGTTTTTAAATAGTACTTTATCTCCTCAAGATGTTTTACAACTTGTAACAGATTTAAGATTTGGCCCAAATATCAGTATTGCGCTCAGGATCCTTTTAACTTTACCAGTAATAGTTGTAAGTGGTGAAAAAAGCTTTTCTAAATTAAAAATAATAAAAAGTTACCCACCATGACACAAAAAAGATTATCTGATTGGCTATGATTTTAATAAAATACAATGTTTGCGACAGTATAAATTTATCAGATGTTATTAAAGATTTTGCAGAATAAAAAATGCGAAGAAAATTACTATAATTACGAGTTAGGATTAAATATTCTCTGAAAAACCTCCGGGTCCGTTCCGGTTTCTTAGTCGGAATGGTTAGAGGTGCTCCGTGATGTGGAGCGTGATAGTCGGCAGTAGTTAGTCGATAGTTATGCAGATTCGGCTGCCTTTGGGAATTTTTTCCACGGTTAGCACTATAAAACCATTCTCATAAAAACCTTTTACCTCAACTATATATGTATGTATATACTGATATATAAGTGAAAATTACGAAATACTTTTTAAAACCAAAAAATTAATTTAAAAAAATACTAGTTAGCGTATACATGACTCTCTTGAAATGAAACCGATGTCTACAAATGTATTTAGACAATACCAACGTTAACGCAATTGTTTCGCATTTCTCGGGGCAAAAGTTTATGACCTTTCGTAGAACATGCCAGCGAGCAGTTAAAATACCAAAGATATTTTCTTATACTCGCCAAGCTTCCGATAACCGGTATTTGAAAATTGATTTGTTTCGTCTTAGCTGTTTCCCATGATTGTTTGACCAAACAAAGATTGCTGGAAAACACCTTGAAATAAAATTAAAACAAGTAAATATTAAACTGATTTAAACAACGACTTCAAAAGTTGTTTCGTGAGCGAGGTACCTAAAACATGAATTGAAAATATACATACATATGTACATAAATAAAAACTATATAAACCATATATGTATGTATGTATATAACCATTTGCTTACTTACTTTAATGCAATTACCAGTCGCTCCTCCACACTTTATTTATTGTTTTGGTTTTTTTTTAATTTTATGTTATACAGCGGCCGGTTAAAACAAAAAAACGAATATTTGTCGTCGCCATTTTTTTAATTTTAAAAAGTAGCCATTTGGCTTTCTATCTTTATTTGCAGGATGAACGGACTAGCGGCGTTTGCGTCTCCTTAACACCTTTCTTCGTTGAAAGCGAAGAATAGTTAAAAAACAACAAATCTTGGAATAAATCATCTATCGTATATTGCGGACAAAATATCAAATAAAAAGCAAATTAAAATGATATTTCACATTTGTGTCCCTTCACAAAAATTAAAAAATAGCTGACGTAAATACGCTGTGCGAAGTATATGAATAATTTAGAACGGTATAAATTCAAAAAGTGAAAATGGGTTGCTAAAACACAGGAAACGGCATATTTCCGAATATTACAAGTAAGCAAACCGCAACCCAATAACATTGTATGGGGTGTCCGAAGGTTAACAGAAAAATAAAATTTCTAAAGTAATCCTCCCTAAATACTTCTTGAAGTAATGATTTGGCTGTAGATAATTTCTTATAGTTGGTAGCAGTCACGAAAGTAATTTCTCCGAAGTCATTTACTTCGAGCAATATCGTGAAATATTGTAGAACACTGATTAATTTGAAATAGAAAGTACACTCTTTTGTTACAACTAGACATCATACATACATACATATATGTTCACATTTATAGCGACTTGTAACATTTTAATATTTCCGAGAAGCGGTTATGTAGAACCATTACTTACACTAATTACTTTTGGGTCATACAGAACGAATTCCCAATTCTTCTGAACTCCACTTTAACCACAACTATGTGTTGTTCAGGTAAATTGTACCATCCGAATTAAATAACGCATTTAATTAATGCATATTTTAGTAACATTAATTATAAAGATTACTGTTTACTGATAGTTGAAACTATTTTACTGATTAATTTATAAATTTTGTAGGCAATACGTAGTTAAAAGTTTAAAGAGGATTATTATTTTCTTACCTTTAAAGGTCGTCCCGAGCAAGTTCACAACTGCAGTGTGGTAAACATCTCTGTTTTGTCGATAGCGATATCGTGCATTGAAGGTTTTAATGGAGGGCTGCCTCAACTATTTGTAATGGAAGTTAGAAACATGTACTCCAAGGTAAGTTTAAACCTTTTTTATACCAGATTATTGACTTTGAATTTGAATTAATGTGATAGTTTGAAAGTAAAAAGTGTGTTTTTTGTGGAGTTGATGATATAAATAATGTTATCGAAATTGCGATCACGAAATGCCTTATACTTATTAACCTTTCAGATATACATACATATCTATTGTATAATATTATGTTAAAATATGTATGTGTTGTTGAAGAGCTCTTGCAAATGTCTTGTTACCGTCGCCGAACCAACTAGCGCCCGCGCTGTGCCGTCGTCGTACACGGCTTCGATTCTCGCTTTGGTGTAGTGTTAATAACTTTGTCCACGTAACTAATTAATTGGTTCTTATACAGAGCGGCTCACGAATCGTGCTATAAAAACAAACCAAATAACTTTTTTTTCAATGCATTACATTTATTTTTTTTTATTGGAAATCATCTTATATTTTAATTATACAATTAATTATTTTTAAAAATTATGGACCGTAAATAAACTCCATGCTCAGTCACGAATAGCGACACTTAATTAGAAAATTTTTCATTGCGGTATGAAGGTTTGAATTCGGGATTGCCTCAATTATCGTTTTAATGAACTGCATTAGTTCAGTCAGATTTCTGGGTTTTGTTTTGTACACCTCTTGCTTGACATAACCCCATAAAAAAATCTATTGTAGTCAGGTCAGGTTATCTTGGGGGCCAGTTGAAAGTGGAGTTTCTTGATGTTAATTTTTCGTTGGAGCTCCGCAATAACTGGTCTGGCTATGTGTGCAGTTGCTCCATCCTGCTGGAACCAAACGCTATTGAAAGGAATATGTCTTCAGCACAGTTCTGGGTAAAATACCCATTCGACATCATTAAATAACGGTGCCCATTGACAGTTACTGCTAAAAAGAAGTATGGCCCAACAATACATCTTTATGAAACTGCACAGTGATTCGTTCTGGGTGAAGTTCCCTCTCGTGGATTATTTCTGGAGTTTATTCATTTCATATACGGAAATTTTACTTGTTTACATTTCTTCGGTCATTTCAATAGTTTTTTCGTAAAATTCCAGGCGAATAGATAAATCTAAAGAGTTCAACCGGTTTGTTATTTGAACATTGTACGGAAACAGGTTTAAGTCATCATGAATTATCCGTTGTAATGACCGTCTGCTAATTCCAAGTTGCGGCGATAAGTTGCAAGTCGAAACTTTCGTATTTGCCTGAATTTACGACGCATTAGACGCACTTGTTTCTTGAACACGAATAATTGGACCTCGATAGTACGGTGTTCTTGCGATACTTCCAGATTCGGCAAATCTGTGAACCAACCTCATAATGGTCCATTTACTGAGGGTAGTGTCACCAAAATCCCGTCTGAATTCTCTTTGGACGGAAATGACCGACTGAAAACCATGGCTGCAGTATACAAACCCTCTTTTCGGTATCCCAAGCATTCATTTTTAACAAGCTGTGAAAAAAAAGTAGGACAATTACTAACACAGAAAAAAAGTTAATAAGGTATGTTTTTGTAGCACGTTTCGTGAACCACCCTATATTTGAGATTTTCGATTACTTGTAACACCATCTTGTGTAAGAAAGGCTATATTCTAAAGATATCTGATAATACCCAGAGGTTATATCTAGAGTTGCAGTTTACACGGCCGGATAACTTTGCCGAAACTGTTTCTTAACGGTAACTGCGTTAAGATCGCGGTAATCGACACATATACGACTCTCTCTTATCAATTCGATTTTTATTAACGTATTGTTGCATCGACCAAGTTTCGGTCAGTTTTCGACAAAACAATACGAAACATGATGCAACAAATTAAATATTTCGTAGCATTATTTTCCGCGAATATGTTCATTAATATAAAACTTGTTTTGACTGTGCTCCTGCAGATGTAGAACTTCTGCAACTAAGCTCATTTTTTGATTTCTGCTACTTCGGACATTTCTACCTACTTGCTTCTCGTAATAGAGAACGTCATCTGGTGCCATTGTACAATATAAACCTACAAGTAACCAATAGAATATTTTTCACTAACACATACGCAAACTAATAGCAAAAACAAGCATTCGGTTTGGGTTGTCTAAATTCTACTACTAAAACGGCCATGCTAGTCATTTGGTACATGTTGCCTACTAATATTCTACCACTAAAGATCCAAATTCCTCAAAAAAAGATAAAAACTGCTACTGTGTATTGCCATGTTATGTTTTAATATAATATTTTTAGAATTATTTTTTCAAATATTCAAATATTTTCCGATTACTAAAATTTCTAAAGATAAATTTACGTAGTTTTGATTAAAATATTATTTGTTGCATCAAGACATTATTAAATCTTTAAAATACAAATCGAGGTAAATGTGAAAATAGATGAAATCTGCTTTCTACACAAAAATGCTTTCGTATAATTTTACGGTTACTTGTATTATAAATATTTTTGAGTTTTTGCCAAAATTTGATAATAGTATTATTGAAGAAGATTCCTTCTCCACTTAAGGAAAGCAATATAAAGGGTGTCCCAAAATTTACGCAAGATTTAAATTTGCCCACTTTTATGTAGTAAAGTGTTAACAACCCTAAAAAAAAACAAATCGACAGCTGACAGTTTAGGCTTAGTAAAAACGGAGCAGTTACACAAGAGAACTTAGAAGAACGAGAAGGTTCGGAATATTTTAGAATTGTAAAATAATTTAAATCGACAAAAGCTTTGTTGTCACTTTTGTCACTTTTTTCTGTGTTTTGTGGGCTTGCAGGGTTGTCATTTTTCCCTTCTAGAGGGAACATCAAAAAGTTGTTCAATTTTTGATTTCTAGCTTTTGCCATCGTCGCTAAAAGACGCTTGTAGGCAAACGCATGCTCGGGAAGATGTGTAAGGCGTTTGCTTTTATGAATGAAACGACTTAGGTTATTGCATAGGCCCTGGGGTCCACATATTCAGTACCTAGGGGCTTGAACAGTTTTGGTTCAATTTATATAATCTTTGGTCACAAGATGGCATACTTTAAACGCAATATCCACGCAAAGTTTTACGCCGCTATAATCATTGTTGCTTGATTTGCATACTGGAAAGTGAAAAATCAGATGGAATTTAAAATGATGTTATATGGAAAATAGGCGTGGTTGTAATCCGATTTCGCCCATTATTATAACATAGAAATATGAGAAGAACATTATGTACCGAATTTGGTTGAAATCGGTTAAGCAGATCCCAAGATATGGATTTTCAAATAAAAGTGGGCGGTGCCACGAACGTGGTTCCTATAAAATCATCTTATACCAACCCAGAAATAAAATTTAATGTCTATTGTTTAGTGCTTGATTTATCGCGCTTTTAGTAGTTTTTAACAGTACCGTTATATGGGGAGTGGGCGGGGTTGTCACCCGATTTCACCCATTTTCACACCGTCGATAGAGATGCTAAAAACATTTGTTCCCTGTGTGCAACCCATTGCTCAATGACTGGTGACATTTGTCGCTTGAACTTCAAATGTCTTTTTATTTGGAATCTCATTTAAAGTCTATAATATCAGTTCAAGCTGAGTATTATAGCACTATTTCTGACATCATTTACTATGCTGATATTTCTGGGCAAAATAAATTAACAGTCATAGTGCATATTGGCTTTTAGTCGCCTCTTACGACAGGCATGCCTTACCGCGGGTAAATTCTTACCCCTACCCGCAGGGGGATGTTCATCCGAACAATACAGAATGCTTCTATTTGCGATTGCTGTTAATCAATCTACGTGTACCAACGTCTTTCCAAGATTTAAGAAGAGTCGACGGTCAGCTGTTTGTCAGGCACATAATCTTCTTGAGAATGATGCATGTTGGGGCACTGTTCCCGCAGATGCATCGAATACTGCCACAGCAAATACGCATGTTATTTGCCATAATATAGAATACCTGCTTTCCATCTAATCTAAAAGATCTTTGGGAAAAGTACAAGGACTGCATGAGTTAAGATAGTCTACCTCGTTTGCGCGCTGCGAACTAAAATCCGAACATTCAATTCACTCCAAATGTGTATAATGAGGCATTTTGATTGACATCAGCTAACGAGGCACTGGTGCAACTGGGAATGCCTGTTTCGAATTGACCAGCAAACGACCTTTTCGACCGTGACACTTTGGTTCTGACCTGACTTTGGTTCTGACCTGACATTTGTTCAGAAAAATCTACTGCAGTGGGTATCAAAACAATGCATTGCCTATGGCAGAGTTATGCGTGAAATAACAAAACAAAGCGGTGGAGTTCATATTTTCATTGATGCACTCGGTGATACAGGCAACCAGACGATTAGAAAATATATTGCACTGACTATTGCATCATCTGGATTTGCGGCCACTCTTTTGGGTGGTGGCCGAACAGCGCATTTAGCATTGAAACTGCCATATGTAACGAATGTACAATGTGTCACAGCAAAGCATTGGAAGCGCGTTATATTACACTGCGAGATTTGAGTGGAAACGCGCGGATCTTCAGTGGCCCCCTCATTTTATTATCTGGTGATTTTCGATAAACACTGCCGATTATACTACGTTAAACCCCCGTTGATGAAATTAATACATGTTTCAAATAATCAGTTTTATGGCGTAATTTACAGAAATTGACTTCCAAAACCAACATGCATCTACAATAACAACGGGATGCATCGAACTTCTGTAAGATCATAGAAAGCATAAACGAATTGGTGCAAAAAGTTTTTCCGAATACAATAATAGGCTACAATAGCGCCCAAAAACGTAGATGTGAACGTAGATGGTGATCTGATGTATTTAAAGTCAAACGCTGCTGTTGCTGATGAAAATGAAAAATTAAATTTTCAAATTGTATTTAAAAATTCTCTACATATTCACTGTCTGTCATCACATATTGTTCTGTTGAAAATTAGTTCACCTATTATTCATCAGCGTAATTTAAACCCACCTCATCTATGCAACGGTACACGTTTGGTAATCAAAAAGATCACAGGAAATGTTATTAAAGCAACCACTTTGACCCGAAAATTTATCCACGTTACCGTTCCCACGGCAGTCGGCTCCACGTAACCGGAGCGGACCCGGATTTTATCTGGCCAAGGACTGTCAACTCGGCAGAATTCCGCCACTACAACAAAAACAACCCGAAAATTTAATGGAGACATTGTCCTGTTGCCACGTATACCTACAGTTCCCTATTGCCGTATAGGGGAAACCAATGCATCTACCAAGAATACATATAACTGAATTAAATTTAAATTAAAAATGTTTGTCATTAAAAACTTTAAGTATATTTGTTAAAAATTAATAACGATCTACCATATCTACTTTATTCATTATCTTAAATGTTATCAACAATTACTCATTTGTTACAAACTAGAAAATAAAATTAATGAAATAAAAAATACAACATCGTAAGTTGATTTGTGACTTTAAAATTTTTAGGTTATATTCAAATTTTAAACCCGTGGATTTTGAATCCGCCTATAACGTTTTCGTCTTTATTCATAAGTACCATTTTACAGTTTTGCATAGTTTATAATAATATAATTTTTCGAACGTATGGTATCCCTCAGCCCAATAACGCGTGGCCGGGGTCTTCTAGTTGAAGATAAATTAAGTTAAAATAAAATATTTAAATAAATTCAGAAATATCATATAAAATATGTTCATTTCCCGGTTGATTAACAATATTACCTGGTTTATCCTGTTATCAAAGCTGTAATTCTACAGATTCCTTAGTAATAATTAATAAGTATATATCACGAGGTGAGTTTCTTCTTCGTGAGGAGAACTCGCTTGTTGGAATTTTTAAAATGTTTGCTGTCGAACCTGCACCTTCTCATTGCTTTACGTTCTCTGTATTTAGTACCCCTTCGAAGAGACACGACAATTCATACATACATATATGGTGTGCCAGTTACCATAAACCTTCTCTATTACCACATATACGTTCTAGGGTACATGTTTGCCAACCACTGAAATTTCATGAAGTTATTATTATACCAAGCATTAAATTTTGAAAGCTTTCTGTTATGTCTTAAGTGTGTGCCTTTTCTTAAGCTGTGACTAACATGTAAGGAAGGGCTAAGTTCGGGTGTAACCGAACATTTCATACTTTTGCAACTCAAAAAGGCATAGAACACCTGTAGGTTTTGCAAAACTTTACATCAAACTAAGGGAAGTATCGCCATGATTGCATTCATTTAAGGGAAGAGGATACAATGTAAATTAGAAAAAGATTCTTTTTGAATTTCATTACAATTTCTTACACATTGACCGATAGATATATACGTTATAAAGGGAACCGAAGGGCATAAGGGAAGTGAAATATTTAAAAGGAGAGACAGTCACCCGGACTTCAACTCGTCTCGTCATCCTCATCATTTATATATATATAACCCTGTATCTATATCGATTAGTTTTAGGCGATACGAACAACCGTTAGGTGAACAAAACTATTATACCCTGTAGCACCATGATGCAAGAGTATAATATATATTATATATAGCCTACAGAAGCTGACTGATATGTAGTAACCAATAAGAAGGACAAAAACCTTCGTCTTGGTTATGTTGGTTAGTTGTGGTAACATGCAAATTTTCTTCTTAAGGTAATTCGAGTAACATATTTACTAAAATACTAAGTATAATTTAGTTTGCCCTTTGATCATTTTGATAATCATAGATCAATGAAAAAATGGAATCAGTGCAAAATGTTGCGAGGTGTATTGATCCAAAATTTGAATTCCGAAAAATTAAAAGATGATACGACAAATATATTTCACTGGTGCTCATTTCTCCATTTCATAAATATTAAAAAGAAATAAATTTTTCAATTCTTTTATATGCTTACTATCTATAAAACAATTTCTTATTACTGTAAAATTTGTATTTTCAGGAGCTGTATGTTAATAAAACATCATCTCATCCTAGGTTCACTCTCACAACTCTTATTCCCGGAAATCCATACATGTTATCAATTTTTGCATCTAATTTGAAAGGGCGGTCAGATGCCACGATTTTAAATGTAGACGTGATTAAAACTGTAGATACCAGTTTGAATGCAGGGCAAGGTAAAACGTATATATCTATATAATTACAAAATATGCTGTTATATGCATTTTAAAACAAATACGCAAGCTATTTATAAAGATCTGTTACAAACCTCCTATCTTAAAATAAGCAAGACCGTAAAGTTCGCTTTTGGGATTGTTGTATCCAACTTCATAATAGTAATGGTTGCTTCTGGTCCCCTTGACCCCGTAATCAATATTGTTGAAATGAAATATTAAACAGCACCGCCGAAACGGAGAGGATCAGGGATGACTAAAAATTTTAACTTTGGAGCCACATAACAACGACATTAACAACAATTACAGCAACATAGTTCTGTCAAATATAAATTCTACTTAACTGATAACACAGCAACGATAAGTAATAAAAGAGTCTTTGCCGTTGTTCCAGAGAACGTAAAGCAATGATAAAGTGAAAACTGAAAAACACCGAGTAAATTTGAAATAATATATAAGCAACAAGTAAAGAAGGGCTAAGTTCGGCTGGAACCGAACATTTCATACTATTGCAACTTGCAAACATCAAAGTCGGGGAAATACTTTCACGTGTTGGCAAAACTTTATATTAAAAAAGTAAGGAAGAGCTAAGTTCGGATGTAACCGAATATTTTATACTCTCTCAAAGTTAAATGGTATACTCGTTTAAGATTTCTTTATGTATTTTAATAATTAGAAATCGCAATTGTTGCCTCAGTTATTCACACACAGTGAAATTAATTAGAGCAATTTGTAAACTAAATTTACTCAAATTATGAGAAATTGTTCTTGTGTTTTTATGTATATACTTATAATTGATTTTATATAGAATGCATTACAACTGTTTTTGGACAATGAATAATATTTTTTATTTATTATATCGATATTATTATATTGGGTGTATGCATTAATTCGTGCGGTTTTTTTACGAAAATTAAGACTTTATTGTGAAAAAATTGTTATAAATTTAATGTTCAAAGTATTGCTAATCGGAAGCTATGATGTTTGTCCATCTTTCTGGCAGTTTGTGGATTTCTGATACCCTGTTCTGAAGAGAAGCGTACTCCGGTGAGGGCATTCTGCATTGACTTCCCTCTACTTCCCTCCACGGTTTTCTAAATAGTTTTTAACTGGCCTTGCAACATATGGCCGAGCGTTGTCATGATGAAAAATTATTGATTCGTGTCTGGTCGCATATTCTGGTCGTTTCTCCGCGATGGCCTTTTTCAAACGAATCAATTGTTTTCGGTAGAGGTCCCCATTGATCGTCTGACCCGATTTCAATACCTCATAATAGAGCACACCCTTGTGGTCCCACCAAATACATAGCATAACCTTAGCAGCATGGATATTCGGCTTTGCCGTGGATGTTGATGGTTGGCCGGGCTTCACATACGATTTCTTGCGCTTTGGGTTATCATAATGAATTTATTTTTCATCGCCAGTGACAATCCGATGCAAAAACGACTTCTTTTGGTGACGTTGAAGCAACATTTCCGACATGCAGAATCGACGTTCGACGTCTCTTGGCTTTAATTCATAAGGCACCCAATTTCCAAGCTTCTGGATGAATTCTAATGATTTTAATCGTCTGGAAACGGTTGCTTGATCAACTCCTAATACTTTTGCAAGTTCTTCTTGCGTCTGGCATACATCTGCGTCGAGCAATGTCTCCAATTCTTCGTCTTGTAGTTTGTTTGGCTGTCCGGGTCATTCTCCGTCGTCTAAGTCGAAATTGCCACTTTTAAACCGTGCAAACCACTTTTGGCACGTTCGTTCGGCTTAAGCATGGTCACCATAAACGTCCAGTAATATACGATGGCTTCCGGTAGCACTTTTCTTCATGTTAAAGTAATGAAGAAGAACTCCCCGCAAAAACACTTTATCTGGTACAAATTTCGACATTTTCAAATGAATGAAACAAATTGTTGTTCACGCTCAAACAATTTATATCTACTGAAAACGATGCGAAATGGCAGTACCTTTGAAATGAATATAGCCACAGATGAATACGACGCGAAATAATACTAGTAGAGCCCTCTCTTAGAAAACCGCACGAATTAATGCATACACCCCATACATGTTTAGCTTAAAAATAATAAATATTAACAACTTTAAAAATTATATTATCATATTAATTTGTATATACTTGTAATACTTACAATATTAAACATAAATTTTTATAGAGATTCTTATACATTTATCCAAATTATATTTCTTTTCTCCTTATACTATTTAATTTCTATCATATATTTATACAATAATGTCTTATATAAAAACAAATTATACATATAATTTAAAATTTCTTAATTAGATTATTTACATATTTTTCTTAAAATTATTTTAAAAACTATTGTCAAAATTTCTATACTTACATGTTTGAAAGTGTCCGATCAATTTGTGAACCGGCAGGTGTAGTTGAATATTCTACACCAAGCAGGGAACTAAAGTTTTTTTCTTGGAGCAGATTTCCTATCGTTGTTCTTGTAGACATTAAACAAATGTTAAAATCTCCAACAATTACCACATTTTGATTGCATAACTCAGAAGTAAGGACTTCCTGAAGTTCTACAATTAAATGTCTGACAGAGAAAACTGAATTTCTGTATAGAACCAGAATATTAATATTGAAACATTTAAACAAAACTGCTTCTAAAAACAATGCGGCCTGAATAAATTTTCTTTACAGCCTTTGGTTCTATAGAGCTAGCATTACTATGCTTTGCATATATTATATGTATCTCCCTTCCGCTTTTTTGTCTTTTGAATTTCGCGGCTATGTACAAAGCGCTACAGAGCTCGTATCTGGCAACACTATACATAATTTGAAAGGTCTTGACATAACTTCCAAAACAACGCTATGCATGATTAGTTTGGATATTGCGTTCAACAGTTATAGACGTGTAAACATGGAGTTCACTAACGCCGAAATTCGCGCTATTTTAAAGTTTTCCTTCGTTAAAGGCAAATCCGCTAGAGAAACGTTCTGTGAGATTAATGGTGTTTTGGGGGATGGTACTCTATCACTTCGAACCGCGGAGGAATGGTTTCGACGGTTCAGAGCCGGTGAAAACGACACCATGGATAAGCCAGCCGGCGGAAGACCTGTGACGACAAATACCGATCAAATCATGGAATACATCGAGTTAGACCGGCATATGGCATCTCGTGACATCGCCCAGGAGATGGGAGTTAGTCACCAAACCATTTTGAACCATCTGCAGAAGGCTGGATACAAAAAAAAGTTTGATGTTTGGGTGCCGCATAATTTCACGCAAAAAAACCTTCTGGACCGAATCAACGCCTGCGATATGCTGCTGAAACGGAACGAACTCGTCCCATTCTTGAAGCAGATGGTGACTGGCGACGAAAAATGGATCACATACGACAATATCAAGCGAAAACGGTCATGGTCGAAGGCCGGTGAATCGTCCCAAACAGTGGCCAAGCCGGGATTGATGGCCAGGAAGGTTTTGCTGTGTGTTTGGTGGGATTGGAAGGGAATCATCCACTATGAGCTGCTCCCATATGGCCAGACGCTTAATTCTACCATCTACTGCGAACAACTGGACCGCTTGAAGCAGGCGATCGACCAGAAGCGTCCAGAATTGGCCAACAGGAAGGGTGTAGTGTTCCACCAGGACAACGCCAGACCACACACTTCGTTGATGACTCGTAAGAAGCTACGGGAGCTCGGATGGGAGGTTTTATCGCATCCACCATATAGCCCGGACGTAGCGCCAAGTAATTACCACCTGTTCCTGTCCATGGCGAATGCCCTTGGTGGTGTGAAGTTGAACTCAAAAGAGGCTTGTGAAAAGTGGCTGTCCGAATTCTTCGCAAATAAGGAGGGGGGCTTCTACGAGGAAGGTATTATGAAGTTGCCGTCTGGATGGAAACAGATCATCGAACAAAACGGCGCAAATTTTAACTAAATCCGATCAGTGTAACACTTTTTATAAAGCATTGAATGAAGAGCAAAAAAGCGGAAGGGAGATATTTGACAACCTTATATAATGCCCCGTATATTTCTGTTGCTTATTCCGTGCTATTCTCAACTCGTTAATTGGAGTAAATCCTGGTATATCAAAATTTTCGCAAGGATAACTCCAAGTTTCTACAAAACATAAAATATCTAAAGATAGCATCAAACAGTCGCTTCTTATATCATTAATGTGAGCTTGAAGACTCTGAACATTATGGAATAAAATTTGATGTTCAGGAAATCATAAAATTTAAACTTGTTGTCAGAGCTTTATTTGCGTTCAATTCCAATACAGGATCCGATTCAGAAAATTTGTTAGGAGGAATAAAATTTCCTATGATGAATACACCTTCTGCAGTAGTAGCCCGACTACAAGCGACATATATTGAACCTCTAGGCATTCTGGGTCGAGTATGAACTACCACCTTATTATATGTGGCACCCTGACTTTTATGAAAATTGATTCCCTCAGCCTAAACAACTAGAAACTGATTTCTTTCAATTGATATTTGTTCATTTCTTTTATTTTGAAAAGATTTTAAAAAGTTTTCAAATGGTGTCCAAGAAATTTCTAGAGGATGAGGTTTTTTTGATCATGCTATGAAACCAACAGAAGGTTCCAAAAATTTAATCCACAGAGTTGTTGGAAAAGAACAATGGAAATCAATTTGCATAAGTTGTCCAGCTGCCCCATTAACCAAGCCATCACGCGTGTTTATATTCACTGTAATCATATATTTGGCGGAGGTTTTTAGTGTTAATCAATAAGGCATTCCCTGCGTTTCAGAAGTTTTTAAAAGTTAAACTCTTTCCAAAATATTTTCAATTTTACTTATTTTAAATTTCTATAACTGAGTCTTTTGCAGTTAAAAGGATAGCTTCAGTTGGTCTCTTCATTGGACCAAAATAAATGTATGGCACCATCGGGAACTTCCTCAACACTAACTACACGAGTTTCAATGGGTGATATGTCCTCATTTCTCATAGTACTAGATACCATATAGTTTAATGCCATTGCAAAGGCCTGATCCTCCCGTTG